GGCTGTAACAACTCCACGTATTATAAAGCAAAAACATAATTTTGCTCTCAGACCCAGTGCCCTGAAACATCTTTTCCAATAGGATACTTTATTTTTAGATGAATACACTAAACATTTTCCCATTCCACGTAGGAGCTGGAATTATCTTTGTTTATAGAAGAAGGAACATTCAGAAACACCAGAAGCCCTACAGTCGATAGAGGTTGGAGCCAGGGAAGAAATCAAACCTTGCCTTAGCATTATTCCACCAAACAGATCATTAGCACCTGGTGGTGCTGTGGGCTAGGCATTGAACTGCTGCTAACTGCAGGGTCTTCAGTTCAAATCTACTAGCTGCTCCTCCGGAGAAATACGAAAAATGTGGTTTGCTCCTGTAAATACTTGTCGTTCTGGAAACCCTATACAGGGTCACAGAGTCAGAATCAACTCAATGGCAGTGGGTATCAGGAGGTGAAGAGTAGAATGAAATACAACCGATGAAAAGCTAGCTCAGGTTCCTAAACGGAGCCTGATTTCTAGTTAATCATGGCCTTAGCTATGAGTGTGGTGCATTTCCTTTGTCCTCTCCATCTTTCTTTTCTTGTATTGGCCTTGATCACTACCTGCCCACTTGTTACCTTGTATCACACTTTCTCATTTAAAACTATCACAACTACTATAATTGATTGTGAAGACTGTTTTTGTAACAATGGTGGGCATATCCTAGTTATGAATCCTATAACTCGCTTACCCACTCCTTTAACAGAAGTTTGAATCTCAACCACCTAATAATACACCGCAGCTTGGAGCTGTAGCATGGCTCAGGCCACACCCAAGTTCAACTCCAACTCCAACATTTTCAGGACAAGCATGCAGGCCGGAAATGTGTCTTCCATGGCCCATGGGCTCCCCGGAACCAGCGTCCGGCCACTAAGTACACACGCTGAAGCTTATCTGTGGGATCGTCAAGGTTCGGAGAGGACGTTTTACATCTGTTTTCCGAAGAAGACCTTTCATTTCGGTCTTTCGTGGAGGCCGGACATACAAGAGAGAGGCCCAGGATACATCCAGTTGTTATGACAACTCAAGACCAAAGGGGGGGGGTGGTCTACGGAAATCGAACCAATCAGCGTGCGCGAATGCCTTCCGGCTGAGCCAATGAGAAGGCACGCCGTGCGTAAGGCCGCCCAATGGGTGAGCTCGCGCCGCGGCATTTGAATCCTGGACCGAGAGACAGCCAGAGGTCCCCAGCGGAGCGGCTTCAGCGCGGAGGCCTAACGGCGCCGGGGAGCCTGGTGTCCTCAGCGGCCAGCCCGCGTTCCCTCCTGGGCCGGGCCGCCTGTCCCTGCTGACTTCGCCGTCCTAATGGCGCTGCTCCGACGCCCGACGGTGAGTGGGCCCGGCGACCCCCCTCGGGTCGTGGGCTGCGTGGTAGCTCGCTCCCCCTCCTCCAGCCTCTCTCCTGCTCCGGGCCGCGTCGCCCAAACCGACGCTGCCGGGCCCTCCTCGGGGCCCCGTGGTCGCG